ATGACAGAAAATAAAGGAAGTCATCACAGAATCATGACTGGTGGCAATTTAATTCATCACTGTCACAAGCAGAGCTACAGAAGCAGAGAAAGGACCATGATTGGGATATGTACGCAGCCATAGATTAAAAAGGGTTACAGGATTAGTTCTGGGACTTGACCACCTGGTCAGGTGGCTATGTGGCTGCTATGTAGCCATGAGTCCTAGCTACAAGGTGCCAACAAGACAATACCAAGACCCCAACCTTTAACTTGTTGTTGTTGTTGTTGTTAAGTGCCGTCGAGTCGTTTCTGACTCATAGCAACCCCATGCACAGCAGAACGAAACACTGCCCAATCCCGCTCCAGCCCCACAATCCCTGCTATACTTGAGCCCATCATCGCAGCCACCGTGTCAATCCATCTCATTGAAGGCCTCCCCCTCTTTTGTCGACCCTCCACCCTACCAAGCATGACATCCTTCTCCAGGGAATGGTCCCTTCTTACCACATGACCAAAATAGGTGAGACGAAGTCTGGCCATTCTTGCTTCCAAGGAGCATTCTGGCTGCACTTCCTCCAGAACAAAGCTGTTAGTTCTTTTAGCAGTCCATGGCACTTTCAGCATTCTTCACCAGCACCACAACTCAAAAGCATCAACTCTTCTTCAGTCTTCCTTATTCAATTAACTTCACTTAACTTAGATAAAATGTGGCTAGTTTCAATGGATCATTAAGGACACACTCAGGAAAGTTTCCTAGTTCTTTGTGTGAGCAGAATCAACTTACAACCACATTCTTCCTGAGGGCAGAGTGCCTCTCCCTAAGTTTGCCCCAGATTTGTCCATACATAGCCACATTGCTGGCTTCATGATCAGAAAGAACTCAATGGCACCTGAACTTATATCAAGACTCAAAATGGAGTTAGGGCTCCCATTGTAGACTGCAGCCTTCCACAAACCACATGCTTTAGAATCTAATAGTCAGACAAAGTCCCTGTCTTCATGGGGTTTAGAGTCAGGTGCCAACCACAGATATTAAACAAGTAATACAGTATGAGAGGCGTCATGTAGAGTCCTCTGAACTGAGTCCAGGAGAACACAAGTTAAGGGAAGTGATGGGAAGAGCACTCCTAGCCTGGGGAGGAGTGGACCTTCCACAAGGCTGGATCCTTTGCTTGAGGGGCAGTAGGGGAGGCATGAGGCTTCAGTGCAGAGGCCAGGCAGCCAGTCCTTACTCCCAGAATTTCCAGCCATGCAAGAAGTTCTCCTTGGGCAGCTTTGATCTTACATTCTCCTCTGAGTTCTTATTTGTGCAAGAAAAGTGAGGTTGTGCCTTGGAGGCAATGGCCATGCCGAGTCCTGACAGGCAGGATGGTGTGTGGAGTTGCTGTAAGCCAGTGGCTGGCAGCAGTTGGCCATCATTTCCAGCTTCACCGTGTTGTCCATTCCCACTTGCTCAACTTCCACCTGTCACAGGGTGGAGCTATACTTTGCACCATCTCTACCCACTGTCTTAGTTTCATAATGCTGCTATTACAGAAATACAAGTGGTAGCTTTAACAAACAAATTTATTTTTTCACAGTTCTAGAAGCTCTAAGTTTGAATTCAGGGTGGCAGTGGCTCTAGGGGAAGGCATCCTCTTTGCTGGCTCTGGGGGAAGATCCTTGTTTCCAGCTTCTGTTACACAGTTCCTTGGTGATCTTCAGGTGGTTCCTTTCTTATGTGCCTGATCTGCTCTTTTGTATCTCAAAAGACACACCACTCTTATGGCCTCATTAACATAACAAAGAAAACTCTATTCACAAATGGGATTGCAGCCACAGGTGTAAAACCAAAACCAAACCCACTGCCATCAAGTTGATTTTGACTTATAATGACTCCCACCACCCCATTGAGTTTCCAAGGCTGTACATCTTTACAGAAGCAAACTGCTTCATCTTTCTTCTGCAGAGCAGCTGGTAGGTTCCAACGACCAATGTTTTGGTTAGCATCCGATGCCTTAACCACAGCACCACCAGAGCTCTTTACATCCACAGGTGTGATTATTTCCACAGGCATAGTGAGTTCGGATTTCAACTCATAGTTTTGGAGGACACAGTTCAATCCTCCATAACACTTAGCGGACTGTTGCCAGGTGCTCGGAGAAGATGAGGTGCCTGGCATCACAGAGTCACTATTTCTCTTTTGTTGTTATGTGCTATGAAGTCAGACGCGACTTGGCAACCCCTCCTTGGGTTTCCGAGGCAGTATCACTACCAAAGTAGATTGCCCCATGTTCCTTCCGAGGAGTGACTGGTGGGTTTGAACCACCAGCCTTCTGGTTAGCAGTCAAGTGCCTTAGGCACTATGTATTTTGAGGCCCTATTCAGGACTGTAGGAGCTCTGGTAGCATAGTGGCTAAGGCACTTGACTGCTAACCAGAAGGCTGGTGGTTCAAACCCACCAGCCACTCCTTGGAAGGAAGGTTGGGCATTCCTACTTCCATAGTAATACTGCCTCGGAAACCCAAGGAGGGGTCGCTATGAGTCGGGGCCGACTCGATGGCCAACAACAACAACATTCAGGACTGTATTGTATCCACTGTAGGAACTGCCTGTCGAGGCTTCTTCCTCATCTATCATCGAAGCATGAGATTCTCATGAGAATGGGTCAGAAGGCACCTGCAGTTGTGAGCAGGGTTGTGAAGCTTTGTGTTGTTCCCTTAGTTATCTCAGACAAGTGCTTCAAGGTCAGCTGGGTCTTCCCACTGCCTCATCTGACTTGTTCAGCAGCTGCTCTGCACCTCATGAGATTGGGCTTGGAGGACAGTAGCATGCAGACCAAGGCCAGGTCCTCAAGGGGTCACCATTTTACATGGGAGTCATACAGTACATGGGGGCTATGGTCAGGGAAGGATGCCCTGAGGCTGTGACTTGAAGGTGAAGACAAGTGGAGGTGGGCTGAGTAAAGAGGTGTTCAGGAAGAATATTCCAGGCAGAGGGACCTGTGTAGACAAAGCTCACAGGTAAGAAGAGCACATTATTTTCAAAGAACCACAAGTCATTGATCCCACAACCAGGTATAGGGAGACTTCCCAAGTATGAGGGGCATTGAGGTTAGTGGGTTGCCCTGTAACCCACCCCCAGCCCCCACCCCTGGTCCTCGCTCTTGACCCTCAGTGTACCCAGGCCTGACTCTCACCTGCCAGCAGCTGTATCTCTTTAGCCCAAGATCCTCTCTGGCAGCTGGAGCCCATTTTCCTTTTCTGTGGTGAGCCAGAAGTGCAGAGAAATCATTGCTCCCTAAGAACAGTCCACACTGTGACCACCAATGGTTAATATGCAAATACCTCTGTCCATTTGACCTTTGGGTGGGATAATCCAAGGGCCATGTTTTATACTGTTTCTCAGAATTCCTCAGTAGGGTGAAACTCCAGTTGGCCACAGTGGTGACTAGTGTGGTAATATATCCTTACTGGCTTTCCTCTCTTTCCTGTCGACTTCTCCCTGACCTCCTGATGTTTCCTGAGATCGCCTCCCAAGCAAGCTGTTTCTGAAGGAACCCAAGCTAAGACCCAATCTACAGAGCTTAAACTCGATAATGAAGACAAGGGGAGCACTGAACAGTTTTACATAGGATCAGAAGGACAGGATCAGATCTGTAATCTTTCTCATTGTGGCCTGGAGGTTGAGTTGTTGAGGGCCATGCAGGGTCTCATCTTATTCTCCAGATCTTAACAATGGTTATTGGATGCTTTCAGTGTTGCTGGGCTGAGCATTTGATACGTGTAAAATGTTGCCATAGGTGACGTCTGACCTCCTCTACCTTCACAAGGGGAAGGAGAATCAAGATCACAGCCAAAGGATGATTTCTGTGAGACAGAGTTTAGGTATGTCTCCATCCTCCAATGTCAGAATTTTTACCAATTCTGACATCAGGCATTTCTTCCATGGCACTGTCTGTTTCTCAGCTGGGTTTGATAATTTGTTGAAATAGCCACACTAAACTTATAGACAATACTCACAATTACAGAAATATTAGGAAAGTAACAGGTTACAATTCAGGATCAGAAACAATTCAAGATACAGTTCTTCCATCAGGACAGCTTCTTCTCAACCATGCGTGGAGACAGTCCTCTCTCTGGCCTCTGCCCTGTTCAGACAAGTGTTACGAAGCTCTTGAACTCTGCCAGTAAGTGTCCAGAGGCACCCCACTCCACCAACAAGCCTCCTGCACGAAGATACTCAGCTTTCTTGTTCCCTGGGCTGGGAAGCCCACCACACCTTCTCCTGCTGGTCTCTTGATTATACTGCTGCCATTTCTCTGCCCCTGCTTCTTGTCATCTCTCACTGTCTCTGAAGTTACTGTCCTCTGTCTCCTGGGTCTAGGAGGTTCCCAAGGCAGGGAACCTGGGTCCGAAGGATGCACGCCACTCTTGGCTCTTCTTTCTTAATGGTTGTGAGGTCCCCCATTCTGCCTCTCGGATGGCTTATTTTAAGCCTAGCAGGATGGCAAAACTGACCAATCCTCTCATTAGGGATCAATACAACTGATTTTCATGGCCCCACTCACATAAAGGTGCCATGCACCTTGTGTACATTATTGAGAAGCTATCCAATCCCCATGTTGGGCCGAAAGCACCTCAATTCATAGTCCCACCCAGTCATTTGGTAAGAGTTACAAAGACTATGGCTAGAAGGGCCGTGTTAAGTAATCTGCTGCACTGTAAAGTACATTTTCTCATTGAATTGATGAGATAGGAAACATGATGTATAGGTTCCATTATTATCCCATTTGCAGATGAGGAACTTAGGCAAAGAGAGGTTGAGACACCTGTTCGTGATCACACAGCTGGAAGCAATGGCATGGGGATTTGAGCCCAAGTTTGACAGATCTGAATGTATGCTCTTGGTCCTTTGTAGTCCACCCTTTCTGCTTTCTGTCCACTCTGCCAGCACCTGTCCTTTAGTTTAGCACATGGGCCTTTAGCTTCCTGGGTATGGGCAAGTCTTATCTTCCAGTGACTTGTGTTTCTCCCACAGGTAAGTTCGAGGATAGGGAAGACCATGTACCCAAGTTGGAGCAGATAAACAGCACACGGATCTTGAGCAGCCAGAATTTCACCCTCACCAAGAAGGAGCTGCTGGGCACAGAGCTGCTGCTCCTAGAGGCCTTTGGCTGGAACCTCTGCCTGCCCACACCTGCCCACTTCCTGGACTACTACCTTTTGGCCTCTGTCAGCCAGAAGGACCACCACTGCCACAGCTGGCCCACCACCTGCCCCCGCAAGACCAAAGAGTGCCTCAAGGAGTATGCCCACTACTTCCTAGAGGTCACCTTGCAAGGTGAGGGCAGCAGAGAGTATGAGCCCCATGTCAGGGCCTTTCACCCCTTACCCATCACACAGGGGCCGGTATAAGGCATGTCCCTCCACACAGTCACTCCTACTTTGCTATAGACAAAGAATGAGGGATGAGGAAAGAAGTGAGGAATCGCCCAGTGTGTTACCAGTAACCTTTAAAGAAAAATAGGAGGTTATGTACAGGCACCCAGTACCCTACCAATACCAATAACCTGTAACTTTTCTTTTGGTGACCTGGAACATTACAAATGGTTTAAATAGCACAGATTCACAGGTAGGTCATTCCTGAAGAGCTATCAACTATGCAGATAGGATACAGTAGGGTGATATTTACATCTGCTTTAGCAACAAGAGTTACCCTGTTTGGGTTTGCTTGAAGCCCACTCCTCCCAGTATTTTAAAATCTATTAGGTAAATTTCAACTAGTTGCCATCAAGTCAGTTCCAATTCATGACAACCTCATGAGTATAAGAATAGACCCTCTCCGTAGGGTTCTCAGTGGCTGATTTTTCAGAAGTAGATTGCCAGGCCTTTTGAGGTACCTCTGAGTGGACTCAAACCACTGATCTTTTGGTTAGCAGCCAAGCCCATCAACCATTTACACTACTCAGGGACTCATTAGGTAAATTACTAGACTAGAAATTTACAACCACCCAATGACCCACTGTGGTCATGAGTAACAACGGACCCATCACCCAGGTGATGTTGTTATGTGCCGTCGAGTCAGACCAATGGTGATAGTGAGCGTTAATTGAGCTCTTACTGTGAGACAGGCACCTTATTTCAATATTTTGTATATATTATATCTCATTTAAACCTCACAAAGTCATATGAAAATATTTTCTATAATTCCCACTTTGCAAATGAGGAAATTGTTGCTCAAGAGGTGAAGTAACTCACCAAAGGCCATTGCTAGGATTTGAGCCTGTAACCAATATACTACACTGTCTGATGGCTATTTTAAAAGGCAATAGTTGAAGTAGTTGACAATCACAGACAACCTAAGACAGCATAATAATGCAGTGATAACCAAGCACAGTTCATGAAAATTATGAGAATTTCCACTCTTTACTTTTGCACAGTTATAGATCAACTTTGTCACATTGGCAGACATCTTCCTAAAACATCGGGTAAGAATCCCCAGTAAACCTAAGTAATGTACCAATTTGGTTTGTCAAACTTTTATAGTCATTGATTCATTCATTCATTGGATTTTTAGTGAGTGCCTACTGTGGGTCAGACATTGTTACTAGTAGTAAGTAGCCTTTGTTGTTGTTAGCTCCTGTCAGGTTGGCTCTCAACTCATGCAGCCCCATGCACAATGGAACAAAACAGTACCTGGTCCTGTACCATATCCATGATCTGTTGCACATCAAACCATTGTAATCTATAGAGTTTTCACTGGCTGAAAAACTGGAGGAAGCTTCACTGAAACCTGTTCAGTCTCATAGCCTTCCCAACCAACCCCAGCACATTGCTGTTGAGTTGATTCTGACTCATGGTGATCTCAGGATTGTCTTGGCTGTTAAATCTTCATGGAAGCAGTTCTCTAAGCCTTTGTTCTGCAGAGCACCCTTTCTTTCAGTTAGTGAAAACCATTTGCGCCACCCAGGAACCTTACCATGTTGTTGTTGTTGTTATGTGCCGTCGAGTC